GGTGTTAAGTGTGATAGCGAATATTTTACAATCAGGAGCGATGTAGAAAGGAAGAGAGGAAGACCGAAGATGTGTAGGAATATGGAAATGGAGAAGGTCGTGTTGGATGAGATGATGATTGGTAAAAGAAAGGTGCTGAGTCAGGATGTTTGTGCCGATTCAAAGACCGTTGTTTCGGATCCGACCAATAAAAAAACTATGACCGAGAATAAAGATGATGGGATATCCGGATCTAAAGGTAGTGTGGTGGAGAATAACAACGCGGTAAAAAGCAATCAGCCATCAGTTGGTGCACAACAGGACAAAGCAAAACGTAGAATAACACCTGTTCTGATACCGCAGCTCACAAATTACGAAAATAAGATCGCGAGCGTAAAGAATAGCATTTATGTGCTGTTCACAGGAAATGAGGATCGCAGGGTGGAGAGAGAATGCATCAAACCGGTTTTAATGAGGATGAAGGAAATAACGGTCAGGATTAGCTATGGTGGCAGTGTAGAACAAATCAGAGGGCAGAAAGTGTGCGGTGATATTACCATGCGTAACCAGAAAGAACGAAATGTAGGAAACACGGACCAAAACATTCCAACAGATGATGGTGATCGAGTCACTCTTGTGAGCGGTAACACCGAGGTGAGAAAGGAAAGGAGCATCTCCTTTAGTTTGTACACCATAGATGTTTCCATCAATGATGTGCTTAGGTACAAGAATGTATGCCTGCTTGCACTCTCTAACGCAGTTCATACAAATGTTCTGATAGTGAAGAGCGTAATCTCTGGGCAATTGCTTTTGCCATTTATCAAGCAGAATGTGCTATACGTGGACATAAGGGGTGATAATCTGCTGCTGTTCATGGGTGATACGTTTTTGATAATAAACCTGAAAAGAGAAAGTTGTTAATGATGTACCGTTTGATACATACAGTCTTTGTTTTGCTAAGGAGTACTTCATAGTAGGAAGCGATCTACAAGGCAACAAGTATTTCTTTATGAAGGAGATCGGTGAGTGGTGTAGGGTTAATCATGAAGAGAGCGATGGGTTTAGAATTGAAAGAGAGAAGGGCACTGAACGTAATGGATTGTTGAATGAGGGTGGGGATGGTATACTGTGTGATAAGATGGGTGCTGATGGTGCAGAAAGCGGTAGAGGTGATGGTGTAGTTCATGATATTACGAGTGATAAAAGCACTGTTCCTGGTACTGCACCTATCAGCAGCACCACTGCTGCTAGAGACACAGGCAGTGCTCTGTTTGATAATATGATAATTTCACAACTGTTTGATAATGACGACCTTTCATCCCTGGAACATATCGAGTATAGCATACTTAAGAAGCAATCACCGACCAAAGTGTTGGCCCGTTTGCGATTGTTTGTAAGCAAGTTGAAGAGCATGACAGAGATGATAGAAATATGGCTAGAGAATATTTTTGTGAATCATATAGTGTATAATTAAATATGCTGCTAAACAAGGTCTTAATGAA